TGGGCCCACTGACAGAAATCCTTATGTCTCCTGTGTGTTTGTGATTGCATAAAATTGTAGCCTCCTTTTTCTGATTCGTTAATGTTTATAACTTCACCCTCCAATATAAGCCTACTTACATGTTTTCCTCCATAACTTGCACACATACATTCGTCTACATTTTTCTTATTCTACTTTCGTATGATGTCATACACTATAATACAGACTTATCAACACCAAAAAATGTGAACAAGGTTTCCGTCTACTGCCTAACCTCAGACAGATTAAACAGCAAATCTATCGCTCTGATGCTGATTCCATGCATTTCTTTCAATTTCAGCACTATATTCAATTATCTCTTCCCATATTTCCACTTTCTCACATACTTTAAAATGTCTAATTGCAGGAACTCCCTCACACCATTTTGTCGCTTTTGCTTATGATAGGGACAATCTAATGAATGACTCTCCTTATGCTCTACTTTCTTTCGTGACAAAGATTACCTATGGCCAGGCAAACTGCAGTGTTCTCTAAATATGATGCTGCAGCATGTAGTATATTATTTTGCTTATATTCCATTACTTAGTATGTGCGAATCGTTCAACTCGACATCATACTGATGTCTACTGTACATATTCAGAATATTTCTAATGTTAATATAATATATGCTATTATCTATCTTCTGCAAATAGCTTGGCCCTTCATTCATTAATATTACAATACTATTACAGGCATGATATTTTGACTATTGGGCCCGTGCTTGCCACGGGCCTCCCATCCCTAGTCCTATATATATATATATATAGAAATGGGACTTATGGGACGAACACCATCATCTAAAACTTGTACTTCATGCTGGAAACATGGTGGGACAAGGAAGGGTAATTCTGTCATCATAAATTATTTACTTTATTGTAATGCACGTGTCTCTGCAAATGAGCGTAGAACTTCCACATTGCTTTTCCTTTCCCATTCCATCAAAGCAACAAGCAGAATACACAGTTGAGTACTCTTCGTTTCTCACATTCTCATCCAAACCCTTTCTCAACTTTGAGGGTTTCATTTGATTGCACTCTCCAAGCTACAACTGTGATACTACATCAGTATATGCATACACATACTTTTACAAGGATTGCCGTTAATTTATTCGGATGAGTCTGAAAGTGATTTTGTGATGACAGAAGAGGGATTAGAGAGGGAAAAGGTGAATCAACGTCTATGAACTCCATAGAATCATAGTGGGTATTTCAGGACGATCTGTAAATGGGGGTGATGAATCAACTTCACGAATAGTTGAATTGTACTTATTGTGGAAGTTGTATGAGGTGAAGGTATGGATTTTTGTTTTCACTTTCTTATGTTATTTTGTATATGAAATATGGATCTTTGTGAAAATAGAACTTTGACTAGATTATAATGGAGGTTGTATTGACTTTTTTCACTTTTGAAACAATTGAACTTTAGAAATTTAAATTTTACTCATTTTCTTCCTCGAATTTCCATATTCTTCGCTTTTGAATGGTTACAATGAAATGTAGTTATTAGTCTTTTAGCACAATGAAACTTCTGCCAAAGATAAGTTAGAGGTATTAGTTTTAGTAACATAAGTTCTTATATTTCACTATGTGAGAAAATTATTGTATTAGTTGATTTCAGTTATAATATCATCATCCATATGGATGCATGTTCTTAATGTTTTCTTCGGTGATTCCTCTCAATTTTTCTAGAAGGATTTGATAATAGAGGATGAAGAAAGCATGAAAAAGGATGATAATAAAAGATCATAGACCGTACACTTGGAATGAGGGGGCTTCCGAAGGGCACTGAAGATACAAAAGAGATGATCATATGTTTTGTTGACACTGAAATGAGGTATCCAATTTATAAGACTAACAATCGATTTTGAAGTTAAAGGTTCCATGTAGTAGTACTAGGACATACTCGGATACACGAATGGTGGAATGAACATTACTACAAAAGTTATACCATGTGCAGCTCTAACAAAGTCCTATGAACAACGTCGTTTTTGTAAATCTATAGGGATAAATTGGTTGTACTTCTTTCTGCATCATAAAGTCACGTGTAGTTGATTAATACAACTGTCTTTCTAATCAGCCCCAGTCCAATCTTCTCTCTATTTAAATTGTTCTGTGATTTCTGCACTTTTATTTTTGGCTGTTCTTTAATTCCAATTGGCTTACCTTTATTATCTATAATCTAAAAAATCATTTGATGCAGTAACTTTTTCGTTCTGTTAATATTTTTCTACCGTATTAGTAGTTGATCTCCATTTGCTGGGGTATACATTAGCATTTGCTGGGGTATATGTTAATTTTTAATTCTCTGGTGAATACTTCAATTATTTTCTTTTTGTAGTTGAAACTCCCAATTGAAGTTGTTGAAACTATAGAGAAACCACAAGAAGAGCTTTTCTTCTTGGCTTGTGATCAACTATGATGTTTCGCGGAGCTTTCCAGGTTATTTTCTTACTATTTTTTTCCTTCTCATTATACTGATGGATTTACTGTTCAGGTGAAGTGCATGTCTTCAAATTATTTACTGTCATTGAATGTATCATATACTTTCTTGGTAAATCAGTTTGCTAGACACGTATATTCTATCTATATTGATCATGTGTAAGGTCTTGATAATGTGCATAATTTGTGCATAATTTTAGGTGGCTTAAGGGTAGCTTACATTTTGGACCTTTGGAAGATACCTATATGGGTAATATTAGCAACTTGAATCAGTAGTCAAAACAGGTTAGAGCTTTCAATACTTTGTCCTTAATATACTAAGGCTGTTGGGATTTGTCCAATTTTTATTTTGGTGAAGTTGATTCTTTTAACCAGAAACATTTATTTTTATACCGTCAGATATCTCTCATTTCGTTTATATGTACATTGGTTCAAGTTTGTTTTTGTGAAGCACTTCCTTCAAATATCCTTTAGTTTGTTTTGTGAAAGTTTAAAGTTGATAGATTCCAAATTTGTGACTGCATTTGAAGGTATTGACTGTTTTTATATGTAAAAGAGGAAAGGGAGAATACAAAATTGTGTTTCCCCTGCTCTTCTTAAAACTACTCTTTCAACAGAAATAGTAGTTGAAGTTTATTTCTTTGGTTTCATCTGTTTTACGTACATTATAATTTCCAAAGAAAGTAATGAAATTTAGCTTACGATATTTACTAATTTTGCAACTTTTTTTTATTAACTGGATAATTCAAGAGTTTGTTGTACATTATCTCAAATGATCTTTCCAAAAGCTGATTTGTAAATGCAGAGTTGCACTTCCTCAGTTGAGGTGAGGAGTATATGATACCCAATATTTTGTCGCAATGACAAATGCAGTCATTTGTTCTTATGATTTAGCATGAATAGAATATCAACTTGCTTATCTGTAAATATCCTTCAAGAAAGCTCTTCAAATTTTTTAATGACTATGGAATTCACAGCTATTTCAGGGTAATAGCATGCAAATCACAAATTTGAGGTAGCCACATTAAACAAGTCATGTGTGACAAGTTCGACCGAGAAAGCATGTAAGGAGTTTTGAACTTGAGACCTCTCATTTGGGAGGTTCCCCGCTCCCCATAAGGCTCATGGTCGGAAGATTGCAAGTTCAAATCGTGTCCCCACCTAATCAGTGGAGTTACAACCACATAAAGAATGAGTACTCTGTTCTTATTTCATTGTACATAATATTTTTTGTCAGCCATCAATTAATAGTCCTAATTATATAAAAGATATAATCTATTTCCTAATTTTCCAAATATTAGCCCATCGCTTCTTGTAAGCCTCTTAAATTAGGCCTAAGAGAAGGAAATGAATTTTTAGAAAACTCAAAGGTGCAAATTCATAGTGCACGCTTGCAGGCAGTCTCAATTATCATAGATTTTTTCACCTTAGGCTTTGTGATATTATTCAGTTATAATGTCTGGTTGTATTGAACATAATACCGTATTCGAGGAAATTCTTTTGCTCTTTTCAGGAAAGCCACTAAAGAATTTACCAAGTATTTTTACAGGATATGACCTTCAATTAATATTTTATCAAAACATAACAAGTGATGACTTAGATGAAGTCTAAGCCGAGTTTACTGTTTACCTTTCTTCTGCAAAAAAAGAGAACATTTTGAAGAGGGAGGACTTCTACGTGAATACATATGCTTCAAAGGGCAAAATATAACACTAATGGGAGAAGGCCAAATTGTCGTTTACTAATGGGAGAATATCACAAATGTTAAATATAGCTTGTGCTGAAAGTAATTTAGGATGTTTGTACAAGTAGTTGTGCTTTTTTCAGAATATCTTTTTTGTTGTTATTTGAAGGTATGAAAAGTCAGTGTGTCTATAGAATGCATGCGGTCTATTGATCATCTCTTTGGTGTCATTGAAGTAATAGCCACTTTCTGCAACATTCAGTAAATGGAGTGCAATGGTTTGCACTTACAAAAATTACTTAAGCTAAATTGTTGTCCTGCCCAAATTATTGAGCCTTCAAATCCTAACGATTTGTTAGAGTTTGAAACAATAAGGTTTTATTCTCCTTTCCCTTTTCTTTTATGCGTTTTTTATCCGCTCTTCTTATATTGTGTAAACATTTTTTTTCATGTGAAAGTATAGCTCCTCAGATGGCTCTTGCTTCTCACTATCTCTGATGATAACAATTTCAATGCATTTACCTTGTAAATTTTGCCTTGTGTTGCAAGAACTGAATTGGACTATGTCATCAGCAGGTTCTTAATTGCTTATTGTTGGGACATATGTTTTTCGCGATACCACTTAACTCTCATTGAGTGTGCTACACAATTAAATTTTACATTATTGTATCACTTATTTCAGATTCTTCAAATGTAAAATTTATGTTACATTTTATATATGAACTTAGACTCACTTGGACTCAAATATTGTATTAGGCAACACTGATTATGGAGTTGGGTTTAATAGCTGATGGTGCAACTTAATTTTGGATATTATTCATATGGGAAGTGCTAAATGGCCAAAAAATTAAAAAAACTATAATATTTTTTTAATTTTAAAATAGACTGATCTTTTTTCCATTTTTTTGTTAAAATGTATTAAAGTTAAAAGGGTAAAAATGTTTAAAAAGGTAAAATAACATAAATAAAATATTATTCAGGTCAAATTCTGGATATTGTTTCACATGTTTGTTTACTCATTAAAACTTTTATATCGATATAGGACAATGTTAAGAAAAAACGCTAGTAATTGTAGATCTTTCGCATGTATAATCACTATATTGGGCCCGTGCTTAGCCTATCTAGTCTCATAATAAGAAGTAGTTTTTCTTCAACATGTGAATATTGAAGTACCACGTGGAAAATGGCTAGCCTGCCTTATTTATCGAGTAACTTATATATTTATGAGCTAATTATATAGATATATTTTCATTTGTAATGCTATGAATTTTATGAGATTTTGGTATCGTCTAAATATGTTCAGATACATGTATCTTGAGATATATAGGATCAAAATTAAGTGTAATTTATATTTAGATACATTGTATGCATGTATCAAGATACATAGATAAATATAATTTGCCTCCCTCGCCTCACTCGTCACTTTCTTTTCTCGCTCGCGTATTTGATCTATTAAATACATGTGAATCACACCATTTACATATTATCTAATGTGTATCTATTATGGTTTACATGTAACTAAGTTGAATAAGCAAATCTCACTTGTCTTCCTTCCACTTGCCTCTGTCCCTATTTAAGACATGTGATAGCAAAAAATATGTATTTAAATATATTTGATTTAAAATTTAAAATAAAATTATTAATTAGTGAAATAAAATATAATTATTTTAAACTATAGAAATTGACGTCCTTACTTACTTATCTAGACGGCCCCTTTTCCGACAGACCAAAGTGATATTTGACCCATATACTATTCATTCACCATCACTACATTTCCAGAAATACTCTGTTTGTCCTGTTATACGCCATTTTCCAGTTGATTTTTCCGCAAGCTCTCAATTTCATACTCTAAACCTCATTTTTACCGAATTGAGTGGATGGTTGCTGTTACTTCTCAGTACCCATTTGGTATCTGCCCTCAATTCCATGGAAATTCAAGGTTACTTTCCCCGGAAACGGACTTCTCTGCTCTCAATTTTCCATACAGACTGGGGTATTCAAGATTGACTCTTCACCCCAAGGTACTTCTTTTTTTCTTCTTATCATTTTGGCATTTGATGTTGAACTATTCTTCTCATGTGCTTTTTAATTAATTTGAAGTTAGATAAATTGATTGTGTAGTAAAAATGGGATTTTCCTTCGATTCTGTTGCCTAGAGGTTCAGCTTAATCAGAGTGTTGTTTGTGTAGAAGACGATTAAGTTAAAAAAGTGCTTTTCTAAAAAGTATGAAGATGGTACACTGCGTATTTCTTGAAAAGTGAAAGAAAAGAACATTAACAGACTACAGTTTGAGTGAGATTACTGGTGCTATGTTACCTTTATGGTTTCATAAATTAGGGAATGTGATGCAATGCTAGTTGAGTGAGCATGTAAGTGTACACATTATCCATGAGGTACCGGTAAGAAGTTGGGTGGTTGAAACAATTTTTTAAACTATAGAGTGCAAGTCAACTCGAGGGCACGTTGACTATTCCAACGGTACTATTACCGAGTAACTCTTTCCATTCAAGCTTAATCAGAATGCAAAGAAGGTTGGAATAATAATAATAAATATCTCGAAAATATAAAAAAAAATTTATATGACAAGGAAAACCTGCAGGCGCTATCCTTTGGGTGGCACACCAAGAGGTTTCGAACTTGAAACCTCCAACATGGAAGTCCCAAGCCCATATCACTGGGCATCCCCAAAGGGTTATAATGTTCATTTTTTAGAACTTGTAACGTCTGTTTTGTGACCACATTGATTACATTTATTAGCCTTCAATTCCTTCATCAATTTGTTCAATTGAATTTGGTCTTTGAATAGCTAGACTTCAATAGAATTGAATGGCCTTTAACAATGCCATAATTGCTCAACACAAGGATGCACCATGGCGTGCTCATTTCTTCACCATAAATATCCATTATCATCCTTAGGATTAAAATGGTGGCAGAGGTCTGTTTCCTCGACAATAATTTAATTCTTCCACTTCATTTTGAGCTCATGGAACAAGAAGAATAATTCTTTCTCTTGGTTCTTCTTCCTATATTTTGTAGTGGTGGATTTTGATTTATTTAATCTTTGTTAGATTCTCACTCCTAGTTTTATACTAGAAGAGTTTGTTGAGTTCTAGGCATACACCTATACCACGTCAAGCTTTGAAGAATTTTCTACAATGTTTGCGGTTAAGTATTTTCTATAAGATTTCCAACAAAGACATCACCTAACATTTTTTTGCCTGTTCTAGGATTTTAATCTTGGCCTCCTATGGTTTTCAATTAATCGCTCGACCATACTCTCGGGTGATGGTCGGGTTGAATCATTATAGGAGATACCTAAGTTGCTCAGACTCTTCACTTTCGGTGCCGCACCTGTGTCCACAAGACGCGGATGTAGGATCCATACCCGATCCGGTCAACCGATTAAGCGTACTTTGACCAAATTCGAGGGATAAATTTTGGAAAAATTCAATGATTTCCGTAATAAAAACAAAACCTAATGTGAAATTGAAGAAAATGGAATAAACCTTCTATACACAAATTTCTATTGTCACTCCCTTTCCTTTTATCTCTTTTTAGGATTCTCCTCTTGATCAATATTTTCTCCACATAATATCTCATAATTTAAATTTTATAACTCTATTTTTGATATTTGGATTATCTTTAGCCGAATCCCCGCACCCGTATCCATACATGGATCCGTACCGTATATCCCTGAATCTTTAAATTTAGATCATAGAGCATCCAACCTCTAGATCCGCACCCGAGTTCGAGCAACTTATGGAGAGGCATTATATCTTTGATGGGAAGATCACAGTTTGGTCTTAGAGTGGGATGCATCTACAGGTCCTTGTTCTTATAGTCGACTCCTAGTTGTTAGCCTAGCCTCAAGCTAAATGTATCTCATTGCATGATTAGAGTGGGTTATCTCTAGTTTGGGTAGTATATTTGTGTAGTTATCTGTGAGAAGACTTCTCAAGTAAGCATAATGAGGCGACTATAGTCAATGCAGCTTGTCGTTTGGAGCTGGTACACTGCCCTTCAATAAAAATGAATACTTTGTTAAAGTGAAGTGATAGATCAAAGTGGTTGGGGAATGGTGATTGTAGTCAGGAATCAGAGAATAGGACCGTGTTCGGTGGCATGCTTTTACTATATCAGAATTGAGAAAATTGTCAAAAAAAGAAAAAAGTTAGTACTATAGTGTGTTATCTCACACTTATTCCCACTGAAGAATCTAATCAAATACACAGTTTGCGGGATCATTGAATTTATTTCACTAGTCTAATAGTGCAATCACATGTATATGAATACGAACTACACTGAAGGATCACTCACTAGAGCTTTACTGGAATTGGAGAAGATAGAAGGAGAATTTTTTTTGTCGTTCTTGTTTTGTTTTGTTTTGTAAAGCAGGAGTTCTGGCTTATTTAACAGAGACAAGACACCGGTTCATGAGGAGTCCTAACCATTGTGTCTTTTCATTATTTAATAATAATTAAATATATAACACATATATATTTATTTATTATTTATATGGATCCGGGTTGACCCACTAGGTGACGCGAATCTAATTCCTTCACCCACTATTCAAGATAATCCATGGAGAGGTATGTCTACGTTTCATGTATTGGATTTTCTAGGACTCAATGAAAATCTGTCAGTGTCTGTAATGCTAATGTGTGCAACACAATAATTACAATCATCTGCCTATGCCAATGGCCTACACAATTTTAATATTCAATGTCATTGCTTGTCTGTATGCCAAAAGCTTTTGAATTAACTGTTATTTGGTCTTCAACTCTTCTTATTACAGGGTCATGTTACTGAAATACATTCTTTGCCACATGCCGGTGATTTCACTGGTGAAAATGAGCCAACACCAATTCTTGATGCAATTGAAAGTCCCATGAACCTAAAGAATTTATCAACTAAGGTCAAATAATTAGCACTTCTCCTCATTTGACCTTGATAATCACGGGA